TCAAAATGCAGCTTCGCACAGTCCCAAACGCGACTGCTTGGACACATTGTCACCGGAGATGGCGTCAAAGTGGACCCCGAAAAGGTCAGCGCCATTAAGAGGGAGAAGGAGCCGTCCAATGCGACAGGGCTTCGTAGCTTCCTTGGTCTGGCGGGATACTACCGCCGCTTCATTCCCAAGTTCGCCGAGATCTCTGCTCCGTTACATGAGGCCACGTCTACTAAACGGACTTTTAAGTGGACGGCAGAGATGCAGGAGGCATTCGAGAAGCTTAAGCTCAAGTTAACCTCCCCGCCAGTCTTGGCGTTTCCCGACTTCGAACAACCTTTTGTCGTGGAGACTGATGCATCCTCGGTCGCCGTCGGAGCTGTTATGGCCCAACGAAAAGAGGACAGGAAAGTCCACCCGATCCAGTACGCAAGTCGCACGATGACGTCAGCCGAGAGGAAGTATTCCGCCTGTGAGCGAGAGGCCCTGGCTGTGATCTTCGCTTTGAAGAAGTTCCGAGTTTACCTGCTTTCAACACAGAAGTTCACGCTAATAACAGACCACCAAGCCCTGCAGTATGCCTTTAAGAAGAAAGACATTCACGGGAGGTTGGCAAGGTGGATGGACTTCCTAGCAGAATACGAATTCGAAATTAAGTACCGCCCGGGAGGAAAGAACGGTGCAGCTGACTTCCTGTCCCGCCTGAAAGCCAAGGGCGAGGATGGAGTCGACTCTGACGACGAGGGAGATCTTGTCTGCAGTGTTTCGGATCCTCTAGAGGCGCAAATGGAGTGGGAACCCCATCTTATTGACATTTCAAGGCACCTCGGGGGTATTGAGATGAGGGAAGTGGATGTTCGTCGACGTCGGCTCAACCGCCGAAGTGCCAAACGTTTCATGGCTTGTAATGGACAACTGTTCCGTAGGACCAACAATGGACTTCGCGCTATCCCGCCTATGGGGGCTCGCAGGGAGATCGTTAGAGCCTTTCACGACGAAATAGGCCATTGGGATCTGCAAACGACGAAGAGATTCGTCTTGGACCGATATTGGTGGCCTGCCGTCCACCGAGACGTGAACGACTACGTTCGGGGATGTGACGGTTGTCAGAAAGCCACACCAATTCCGAAGTACAAGACCACCCTTCGATTTCCCATGACTTCGTTATTTGATACATACTCTATCGATTTTGCGGGACCATTGCCTCGTACGCCCTCTGGAGGGAGGTACATCCTTATTGCCGTGGAGCACCTGACTGGCTGGCCAATTGCGAAGGCCACCGTCACCTCGACGGCAGAGGAGGTGCTGAAGTTCGTGAAAGAAGAGATAATCCACTGTTTTGGGTTACCACGTGTCGTTGTCTCGGACAACGCTACTTGTTTCACAGCGTCGGTCCTGAATACCTTCATGGAACGAAACGGGATTAAGTGGAAGACAGTGCTGGCCTATGCGCCTATGTCGAACGGACGGGCAGAGCGGATGGTCGGCACATTGAAGAGAGCAGTCCGTAAGATGATTCTCGGTGCCTCGCCTACAATTGTTGAGTGGGACGATGCTTTACGTCAAGTCCTATATGGATACCGTCGCAGGAGGATGGCGGTGGGATTGTCCCCGTTCGAGCTGCTTTATGGGGTGCTGCCCAGGATGGCGCCTGGAGACCAAGAGCCTCTCTTCGGAGTCTCCGAGATCCGCCACTGGCAAATGGAACTCCTGCAAGCCAGAGCGATGCGGGCAACAAGAATAATCGGGCGCAGAGCTGCAACCACATTAACAGACGGTCGCGAAGCAACTTTTAATGTGGGCGATGAAGTGTTGGTCGCAAAAGGGGCTGCCCTCGGGCCCATGCAGAAATGGCCTATCGCCTTGTCGAAGTTCTATGGCCCATGCCGAGTTGCTCGTGCGCGCCATCCGCGGTACACTCTAGTGTCGCCGCATCAACGCTACTCGAGAAGGGAGATACATGCCAGAAGGCTGGTCCTCTACAGGAGGCAACCGTTGCACCTTCAGTGAGGCAAATGACTAGGGATTTTTACGCTTGAATTGAAAGATAGTGAAATGCATATGAAGTGCTGATTGCTTGCTACAAGTAGATAGAGAATGGGTCATGGAGACAATGGGAATCACCAATGACCTCTAATGCTGAATGGAACTTCCTGAACCGCGAATCGCGGCTTTCTTGTGCGCTCTGCGGCTGCTTGCGCGTCCAATTCTGCTCCGTTTCTTCTTGGAAGGGGTGACGACGAGAACTTGGTGCAGTTCGGAGACGCCAACGAAGATCCCGTCGGCTCCAACGCATGCTTGGACCGCGCCCGCGCAGAGCCGAAGCGGAAACCCCTCCATGCAATCAAGTACAATGGAATGTATGGTCGAGACGCAGATGCTGTGCATTATGTGGGGCAAGCCTTCTAAAGTCGCGACATAGACACCCGGGTCGAGCCTCAAGAGGAGTCCGAGAGATGGACTACGAAGACCCGACCCGCGGAGAGCGACTTCATCTTGATTAAGATGTTTTCCAGCGTCATGGAAATCTCGGATTCGACGCGACGGAGAGCCGGTCCTCTCAAAGAGGAGGCTGTTGCGGACTAAAAGATCCCAGTACTTGACGGCAAGGTTCGGGGACCCTAGTAGATGGAGCCCGTCTTGGAAACCTTGGTTACATCTGTTCGAGATGAGAGCTCGAACATTAAGTGGTCGCGGCTGGCGAAGCGAGCGGCTTTCAGATCGAGCTGCTTCCGCTGGCGCTTACCTCCCGTGCTCTTCGCCGCTGTCTGCTTGGTCCTCGCCATCGTATTACGCTATGAGGGGGGCCAAAGAGGGCACACGGGGACTGAAACCCCACCTGCGTGCCTCTCGATCTGGCGGGAAGCAGGAGGTCTAAGCTACGACGAGGACCACAGAGGCACGGCGGAAGAGCGGCGAGAGCTAAGCAGCGCAGGAAGCAGGAGCCCGAAAGAGCTAAACCGAAGCTGGGGTGGGGCGAGAAGGCGAACGGAGAGCGACGGCAGATACCACAGGAAGGGAAGGGGGGTCCGAGCCGCAGGTCTGTGCTGATATAGGCTGGAGGGTAAAAAAAAAATCAAAAAATCAAAAAATCAAAAAAATCAAAATCAAAGGCAAAATTTGAGTGGCCGGGGCCCGTGGCCCCGCCTAAGTGGGGGGTTGTGTGACACGTGGTTGGGACCGGTGTAAGTAATTGGAAGTTTAAGTTAGTAATTGTAGACTGCGCGCAAAAAGAGTATAAATGCGGTGGTTTTCGGTCGTCCTGTACGGCTGAGAGGGAGAGACATCACACATCACATCACAAAAAAAACACACACGGGTAAGACACGGGACGACGCACCCCGTTTTCACCCTAACAGAATTAAATCCAAATACGAGCACATGCAGATCAAAACATTAGTTCTCTCAACATTACAAACCAGACGCAGTACCTTCTCCCGCCATTTTATGTGCACAACTCGGCCCTCCCCCGCCTCGACGCCCACGTGAAATTTGCGACAGTCGTTTGCTAGCATTTAACACTCTGTTTAGGAAACGGAGCACCACCGGACGGCAGAAGGGTACCCAGAGTTCAGCACCCAGAGTTCAGCTTTTTGAAATTAAATGCCTCCTTGGCATCGATCGTGAAATGGAGAGAAGCCGGGGAGGCTGCTCTCTAGTTCATGATCGATGATGAAGTGGCTTCGCCGAAATCCCTTTCCTGTGAACCACCCCGCCCTCGCTCCCTCCCCCCCGCCACCAACCCCCCTTCCCCCCCAAATATGACCACGTCCCCTCCTCCCTGCCACCCCCCTTCCCCCCCAAAATCCCCACGTCCCCTCCTCCCCGCCACCCCTACCTCGCGCCCCACCACCACGTCCCATCACCATCTTCCTCACCTCCTCAGTACCGTGACCAACACACATCCTCCGACATGCTATTGTCCCCGCCACCGCTTCATCCTCCTAACATCGACACCGACACAGTCTCTCTCCGCACCCTCCATCCCTTCCATATCTTTCGTTTCATATCTCAATCCAGCCCAGTTTTGGTCATGCACATCGAGGGACCTCATTATAGCAACACGTCGTCCAGCTTTGCTTTTGTCGAGCTACAGGGAGTCAGACTGGGCCATGTGCATGCGCGAGGAGGCGTTGCTGTACCTTCCATGCTGCATGGATCTGCAGACCGTCCAGACTCTGTTCCATTTCCGAGGAGTGGAACTATGGGATGGCATTACAGTAAAAACTACAGCAATGTGCTTCCGATTTTAGTGAAGAACTCAATAAAAACGGGGCGAGGGAAAGGAAAAACGAGAGGAAAGTCCTTTGTTAGGACTGGCCCTCAGTTTCTGCATGAATAAACAAGCAAAAAGCTAAAATGAAAAAACAACCCGAAATCGCGGCTTGCAAGTAATATTTCATATGTGTACGTGTGCACGTGTGCCCTCTGTACTTAATACTCCTTAGATTATTACTCCTAAACATGTGGTCTGATTTACAACTGTACCATTCGTGCTGTACAATACCGTGTTCAAAATTTTAAATTTGAACTAAATACTGTACTGTAACAATAGTATTTTCTCTCTCGTTTCCCTCTTGGAACGGGAGCACAAGCCTTGGAGGCTTGTCCAAACCCGTAAAATTCGAACAAGTTCCTGTTCCAAGAGGGCACCAAAGCTGACCGATGTCCGAGCTCTCCCGAGCGCCCTCATTCTCGAGCTATACGTAATCTAGTCTAGAGTGTTGTCTCCGTCGCATTCTTGTACGCCATCTGGAGGACACGTTTTTATGTTTTTATCACATCAACCAATATACTCAAGTACCAGGGTGTACTGTACTGTGGAACAGTGCTGCCGTTTGCGGAAAACCACAGCCATTACCGGAGAGGCACATCTCTCCGAGATGCACTGCCTCTGTGTGTGATGGTGTCGGAGACACATACTGTACTTTGTGTACGGTAAGATTCCTCTCCACCTCGAGAAATATTTTTAAGTGCGGAAACGACCGAGGCTGTTTCTCATCTTGCGTAATAAAGTCAGGCTCAGTAGTTTTACGCGATACGCGACTTACATGTACTGTAGATGTGGAATACGTTTAATACATCAGGCTAGTGATTGAGATACGGTCTTCAGCATAGGTAAGCAATCGTCACCCCACTTCCTCCATCACTTTGCTCTGCTTCTTCTATCCTTTCCACCATCGGGTGTCCATTCAGGAAGCTCTGGATACCTTGCCGGAGTTTCCCTGTTCCGTGACCATGTATCACCCATATTGCTCCCATTGCGAGCCCTTTATCGATAGCCTTATCCACGCGACTCTCTGCTCCATCCACGCGCTCTCCACGAATATCGACAGTGTTTGCAGCTGTCCGAACTACCACCCCAGCCTTGTTCGAATCTGCCTGGTTGTTCACCGCATGTGGCTCGTCACTTTCTGCCTCCCGCCTTTGTCCTACTGATGCAATCTCTTTCACTTTCACCTTCGCTCTCATCCCGCCAAACGCTACCACCACTTCCTTACGACTTGCGACTTCTACTATTTCTACTACATTAGGACTTAGTCGCGGAACCACTATTCGATCTCCCATTCTGATGTCATCAATATCGAAATGCCGTCTTGTCTCCTGGCTTGTTATGGATGTGTTTCGCCCTTCACTTCCCGGCAGATGAAGCTTTCCTAGCTTCTGCGACGCCTTATTAGCAGCTTGCGAGGAGCCCCCGCCTTGCTGCATATCTTTGATAAGTCGTGCGATTTGATTTTTCGCTGCCTTCACCTCATTGTCCATTGCCACCTTTTGATTTTCTCGCAAAACCTTCTCACTATCGCGCAGTCGCTCCAGTCGCTCACTCAATTCCGAGCGAAGCTGCTCTACTTCATGTAGACGCATCTCAGCTCCCTCGCGCGCGATTTCTGCAGACCTCTTCTCTCGCTCCAAACTGGATATCATCTTTTCAATATCAACTCTGTTGGGCGACTCTTGCCCATCCTTTGATGTTCCAGTAAGGAGATATCGAGCTTCGTCGACTACCTCCTGAGAAAGTCCCAGCCGATTTGCAATCGCAAGTGCATTCGAACGCCCTGGGATTCCCCATATGAGTTTGAACGTAGGAGCCATCCGCAGATCGTCAAACTCGACGGAAGCATTCTCAAAAAATCGGGCGCCATCATCATCGGAGTATTTCAATGTTTTAAGCTCTCCATGGTGAGTTGTTGCAAACGTAAGAGCTGCTTTCTTGCCCAGTGCCAAATGCCGCAAGATCGCCATACCTAAAGCAGCTCCCTCTGCCGGATCCTGTATTTGGAGAACAAAGACGTAACAATCATAAAAACAAAACGTTAGCGATAAGGAAATTTGAGTCTCTCGCCGACCGTAGAAGTGGCTGGTTGGCTCAATGTACATACCGTGCCTGATCCAATTTCGTCAAGGAGGACTAATGTTTTCGGCGTGCTAGCCGCCAAAATTCTCTTGATTCGCCGAACGTGCCCAGAAAACGTCGATAAAGATTGGACAAGCGATTGATCATCTCCGATGTCGGCCAAAACTGAGTCAAAAAAAGGCAATCGCGCTGACTCTACTTGCTCAAGCTCTTCGCCCTCACTCCTTGAAAATGATTTCAAGCCATGCTCCTTCGCTATTGTCGTCACGGAGCTAGGATCTTGGGCAGGAACAAATAGCCCTGCTTTCGCCATTAGGACGCAAGTACCGAGTGTCTTCAGAGACAATGTCTTTCCGCCAGTGTTTGGTCCAGTGACGCAAACACAGCGGATTTGGTCATCAAGAATATAACTCGATGGGACAACAGCAGTCTTCCATCCTGGTTCTCTCCGCTTGTAATTGGCCGTCCCACTCTCCTTTCGCTCGCCTTCGGATGTTTTGGGAGCTTTTCCGTTGCCTTGAGCATTCCTTCCGCTTTCGAGCTCTGCCATAGCTTGCCACGAAAGTAAGGGATGCCGCGCACCAAGAAGTCTCAAAGGCTTTTCGTCATCAAAGACAACGTCAACCGCATCTAAAGACCGCGAGCAACGGGCGCGAGCTGTGGCAGCATCCAAATGCGCCAGCACTCGCCCCAAATTACGGACGTCTTCAGCAATTGGGACAACGACTTCGGCAGAAAGGCGACGGAGAATGGCGTTGACTCTTGCTTTTTCCTTTGCGGCGAGCTGTCGCAACCTGTCGTTTAGCGGTCGAACGGAAGCTGGCTCTATGTAGGCCGTGAATCCACTTGCGCTGACATCATGTACGGTGCCGCGTCTAAATGCAGACTTGCGCGAGATCTTGACGGGGATCACGAAGCGGTCGTAGCGTGATGTGATTACGCGGTCCTGAATGGCGTCGCTATGACGAGCCATAATGTCGTTGAGTTTACCTCGGACTTCGGTCATTGCGTCACGCAAAGAATTGCGGATTCCTCGCAACTCTGGATCCGCAGAATCGACAACATCTCCAAAATCGTCAATGCTTTTCTTGATGTCTTTTTCTGCTTCAGGCCAAGTGCGGAAGGAAGAGACCATGTCCTTGAGAATGGATAAGTTTTGCGGGTGCTCGGTTGCACTAGGCGACGCGGCACCCTCGATATGCCGGCGTATCTTGCGTGCTGACGCGAGCGTTTCGGCCACGTTAATAAGCTGCATGCCCTGTAGTGTTTGGCCTTTCATCGCAAGTCCAACGATAGGGAGGACATCATGTACACCAGAGAAGTTGAGCGGTTTGCATAAAGTGTACTCCATGAGGTAGACTTCTCGAGTCTCCGCAAGTAGACGTTCACTCGCTGCACGTGTCTCCGGAATGTGCAACCCTGACGATGACGAGCATAGCGCAGCTCGGCCGAGGGGTGTGGACGCGTAGTTTAGCACATGGGCGGATATTTGGGGCCACTCGAGGAGGTTGAGCGACTCGTCGTGAACGTCCGGTTCAGAAAGCTCACCGGTGTAATGAAGTGTTGTCGGTATTGTCTCCTGCGGTTGCTGTGCCGTCGTTGCGACTTGAAATGCAGTTTGCGGACACCCTAACGGTTGAACCCGTTGCACAAGGGACGAAGTTCCATGATTCGATAATACCTGCTTTGGTCGAGGGCGTCGAGAAAGACGAGAGGAAGAATTCGACCCTTTCGCATAGAACGCCAAAGTAAACGGTGCAACAAAGAGAAGTGCGCCGGGCGAATTATCCATTAGAGCTCCATTCAAGGCAGTAGGAGTCATGGTTAGCACAATAAGAGCATACAGACATTGGCAGGGCGAACGACCGATGAAGAGCAATTCGGAAGGTTGTGAGGGAACGCTCGCGGCCCCGACAAGCACTCCTTGTTCAAGGTTGAGCACCTTGACGCCCTCGACCGCATAGTTATCGAGTGGTTGGCTGTGCGAGAGCTCAAGTCTCATGGTCCTACTTTTCTGGATGTTCATTGGATGGCGCACATCTGTCATTGGCGGATACTGTAATTAATTCCATGACGGAGGTCGCCCTCAGATTCCTACTGTAAGAGGTTGAGACCAACCAGGGAGTGATGTTCACGTGAAACCACGTGCTACTGTATGCATCTCATATCCCACCAAACACGTGTACTTGTTGAGATGTAACACAGAACACGTGTACACGTGTTGAGTCTGGCGCTTGGTGATCATGCGTCGGCAACATCATAAAGGAGTCCCTGTCTGGTCTACGAAATGCTTCTGACGCTGGGAGAAGCAGTCCGTGTTTCATCTGCAAGTTTACCTTGATGACAAGAGCAACATCAGATACAAGTCGTCATTAGAGTGAAGGGCGTCTACTAAAGCTTGACTCCGTTACATCATCTCCATAACTGAAATCGTTTTTCACACGACAAACTCATAATGCCGCTCCATATGAGCTTCGTTTGCCACCATATACACTGCCCGCAACGTCTACTTTCCCTCAATGCACCTACCATTTCCTCTTTTCGTTTTCGTGACTTGTAGACAAAACTTCCGATTATGGCTGCACCTGAACATGAACAGAGGTGCATTTACTTCGAAACAAGTTTTTCAAAGTCCAACACGGAAGCCGCCCTTGACGTCCTGCGTGTGGCACATGAAATTTGCCTCCGTTTCATAACAAGATAAATATTATGTTTGACTGCCAAACAAGCTGTATGGGATGGCAGTCATCGGGTTCTCACCACTGGCACATTTCAATAAGAAGGGTATACGCCGCTCATGTAGCTGTCATTTCCTTCGAGTGAGCGAAGTGAAATGTTCAAAGTCTCTGCTACACTGCGCATCAGGCAGAAAGCACATGAAGTCCATGGAAAGCGTTCCTTTTTGCTTACCCTTTCCCGTGTGGACTACGACACTTTGCTGAACATGTCCTTCATACGCGTTTTCTTCTCGCGAGCAACCTCACAAAGCATTGCGTCAGCTTTACTACCACAAATATAGACCCGCAAGAATACCGAGCCACTGCGTTTCGGTTGTGTGTTTTCGCCCTTTCAACGTGGGTATCTGAATCAAATTTCAGTTAACATCTTTGATTCAATCCCCCCTAGTTGCCATGACGCAGAGCTCTTTAGGCTTAAACATTCGTTGTAGCCTCTTATTCCAATTGGAAAGTGACATCGTTTCAGCTTTGGTTCGTACAATGACAAGAAGCTCACGAGCAGACTCCGCGCTTGCCTCCAATACGTATAGGTCTTAGCTGATACTCAAGGACTGGAAGGGAAAGTACCCCAAAACGTGCCGTTCATTCCCGTTTTCCAGACCATGGAGTGGAGTTAACTCGAAAATAATCATCTCGTCTATTTTTGTCGCGGGGGAATTGCGTTCGAAGATTAAACTAGCTGGACTGTTGTTCTCTGCGAGTATCAGTGTAGGGGCAGTTTGATATCCCCTTCGTCCATCGGTCACCCAAACATTGGTCAGCATCTGTTTTCGTGATCGCGTTGGCGACTGCGTATGAGCAAGGCAAGTAAGACTTCGTATTGCTATTACGTTCTTGGCACACACTGTAGCTTGGGTCTCTCATCCCATGTAAAGCCCCCGGTCGCGAGATTATCGACCCACTCACTCTTCATGGGCCTGTACAGTAAGACCATCTTATGATCCATAACAAAGTACCGTCATAGGATCTCTAAAACTGAGCATGTCGTCCATTTCATGCTTACCAGAGGTCGAGGCCCTGACAGCATGTCTGGGCTTTACATTTTCACCTTGTGTTCCTTGAAGTTGAGGTTGAAGACCCTTCACTTGGATTATTTTTGGAATTATTTTTGGTAGTTTTGCTCGTAGCCTCTTAAGACATAAAGCACTGTCCAGCCGAAACAAGAGACTCGTCTCCCCGTCACAAAAAAAACGCACTCGCCTTACTTTATCATGTGCTGCGCATGAGCATGTCGACGCTATCTAGTTACCAGACTACGGAACCAAAATAGATCGTTGTTCGCCCTTCTCGTTGCCTATTTCTTTGTTTTAAGGTACTATATGTCCCATACATTTCCCGCGCGAAGGCCTCCCGAGCATCATCGTATGTTACTGTTTGTCGTAGTTTGCACAGGCGTAAAACTTACATCTGATTTCCGTACTGAGGGATGCGAATTTACGGAGGACCAAACAAGAATCTTGTGACTGAGGCCGTAGTCGCGGTTAGTATTGATTTCTATTCTGGGCAACGACTGTCAATGTGTATGAAAATGGAATGCGAACAAAAGCAGTATCCCATGAGAGCCCGTAACAAAAAGATATGAATGGACACGTTGCTTGTCATGGAGCCCCATGCGATACCAATTTGAGAGAGAATCCCAGCGCATGTTCGAGAATCATAGTTGAAGCTGGCGCATAGGCTGCGAGTTTGCGTCGACTCGGGACACGGCAAAATTTGAGGCGTGATGTATCTATCGCCTGTAAGAAAGTTAAGCGATATGGAGCAATGTCCACAAAAGAAGCGAGATGACGCAGTGCGAGGGAATAAGTTGATGGTATTTAGTGAGTGGATTTTTGTCCAAGACTCAGGACACCCTGATTTTGAGGGCATGTCTATAGGGGTGCCTCGCAAAAGACTTACTGTACATGGTTCTGACTGTGGACGCAGTCCTTTGTGCAGATGTGTAGTACAGTATAGTCATTACTTGATTGCATGCATGTTGCTATTGTATATTTTCATGTACATGGCAAGCGTGTATTTCATTTCACGCTACGCCTGCTGATACACAGTTCCCCGTATGAAGGATAAGGCAGAAAATGGATGTAAAGGTTGATACGTATCCTGAAGCGGGCACTGGAAGATAGTCACGTAGATGAGAGCCAGATTGCACCTCAAGTTTGCAGTGGAATTCAAAATCGATTGTAACGCTTTTGTTGCATGATAGTCATATGATAGGCGTTGAGGGGAACATGAGGCTACATATTTGTTTCTGGATCCATGTCCCGCTCCCGCTCTCGCGCTCTCTCTCTCTATCTGTCTTTCTCTCCTTGTCTATCTCTGTGCGCCTACAAAAAGACTGGCATTCGCCCAACAGGAGGCTGGCTATCGACACGCACAGGCCACAGCGGCGGATACGCTGAGAAAAGATACAGCAGCAGCAGGGTGCAATATCGCAAGCATCGGTCGAGAGACGGTATCCAGTTTTTGTTTGTGGCAGGGAGTGATGTGGGATATGAATGTATGGGAGGAGTGCATGTGTAATGGAGAACTGGAAGGCGTTTCGAGAGACTTGTACTGACACTCAAATGGACGTGCTGTAGGGTGCGGGAGAACGCGCTAGCGTGTCTAGGGTGAAACGTTTAACGCGACAGAGGAAGTTGTTTCTGTGAATATGAGGGGTTTTTCTACGATCAGCACAGTATCTTAGAGATGGCATGCAAAGCTAGCAAGGCGTTGCACTTGTACTGCAGCA